GCGGGGGCGATGGCTGCGCGCAGCAGCTTTCGCAGCCCGTCCCCCCCCCCCCCACCGTGCATCGAGAAGGGGGCCCCGCGAGGGGGCCGACGCTGGCTGCGCGCAGCAGCTGTCGCAGCCCGCCCCGCCCCATCGCCCAACGACCCGATCTCCCGGCTGCACGCAGGAGGTGGCCCTGGGCGAGAACGGCCCCTGGTGCGCGGCCTCCCGACCGCTGCACGCGGTGCGAAAGTGGCGACCTCCCACGCGCTCGGGTGTGGCCCTCCGAGCCCCCCCCGATGCGAAAGCGAAGAGCAGAAAGGAGGATGAAAACGAGGAGAAGCGGCAGCACGGGAAGGCGGACGAGAGGAGGAGGGGGAGGTCTGGGAGAGTGGGTGGGGAAGAGGAGGGGCGAGGGGAAGGGCAAGGAAGTAGGAGGAAGAAGAAGAAGAAGAAGAAGAAGAATAACAATAAACAAATAAAGAAGAAGAGGAAGGGGAGCCAGGAGCGCCCTGCAGGCCGCGCACCAAGGGTCTTTCCAGCGAAGGGTCCCTTCTGCGCGTGGCCGGCTCTCGTCCTCCTCGACCCTCGTTCGAGGCGCCGCCGATCCTCGGGCCGCCACCCTGGGCACGACGACGACCGTCCGCCCTCGTCAGCCTCGCTCCCTCGAGGTCCAAGGGCGGTAGGTGGCGGGACCCCCCCCCCCAGCCGAGCGTGCGCGGCGCCTCTCCCAACCCTGGGCGGCGCACGCGCCCCCTCGCGCGCTCGCCCATGCAAGCAGGGCGGATTGCGCGACGCCTCGCGCCCATCGCTTGGGTTTGCGTCGCCCCGCGCCGTTGCGCGCCACGCGGCGCCCCCCCTTCCCTTTCGCTCAAGCATGGGGATCGCCCACGAAAACCGCGACGGGAGCAGAAGGGAGGAGGAGGAGGGAGGAGGAGGAGGAGGAGGAGGAGGAGGAGGAGGAGGAGGAGGAGGAGGACAGGGGGAAAGCTTCTGTTCGCAACCGTGGCCTTCAGGGGCACCTCTCTCGGACCCCCGGGGCCATGAGAACGCGGCGCCCGCGGCGAAACAGGACACGGCCCCGAGGACGGGGTGGAGAGCTCCTGGCGGGGGGGGAGGGCCGACGCGAGCAGGATCACGACGTCGGAAGTCCGGGGTTGACGGGTCGGGAGGCCGACCTCTGGCCCTCGGGAGGAGCTGGCGGAGGCTTCGCCGCGGAGGCTGGCAAGAGGCGAGCCGCGGGCGGCTCCGCCGGCGGAGGCTCGGCGGAAAAGAGGTGAGACCCCCCCCCCCTCTGGGAAGCGCAGCGCCGGCGTGCCCAGCCAGGGCCTCCCGAGCCGGCCAGAGCAGCTCACGGAGAGGAGTCGAGCGGGGAGCCCTCGGAGGGCCACCCCGACCTCGAGGTCGGGCCTGTCCCCCCTTACAGGCGGATTTGGGACGAAAAATAGAGGATAGTCCACAAGTGCACCAGACATACTCCAAAATAGTCAAGACATCGTCCCCAGACTTTTTGGGGGACATGCTTTTGATACCCCCCCTGTAGAGAAAGACGGGCCCGACTTAACCCGACCTCTGGGCGCCCGCGCCGCGCGGCGCCAGTGCGCGGGCGTTCGCTCCTCGAGCCGCCGAACAGCGCCGCTCCCCGCCGCGGCGAGTTTCGGCTCTGCCCGCTCGCAGGGGCGAGGCCGCGGCGCGGAGCCTGATGTGGAGACATCCCCGGCCCGACGCATCCCAGGAACAGTGCCGTGCGCCTAGCGCTGGCGGCGTCTCTGGATCACTCCGCACTGGAATCGCGGGTGCCCTGCACGTCCGTCGCTGGATCGATCGTCACGCCGAGACATCAGTGCTGCACACAAAACGTGCTGGGTATGAGCTCCATGCCCACGTCTGGATGTCGTCTCACATTCACCCTCGCCCACATGAAGAGTGCACGCCAGGTAAAAGCTTAGGCGATTGCTTAAACTCTGCGAAGTGAAGAATGTCATTCAAAGGAGCCGTGGGCCAATCCAACTCCACAACCTCCCGCAGAGCGGGCAAGGTGTAGATGGCATCCAGCTCATCCAGTGTCGCGAAAATTGAGCATCCG